TGAGAGTGGTAATATAGTGAGAAACAAGGCTAGACTTGTTGCTCAAGGGTATACTCAAGAAGAGGGCATAGACTATGATGAAACATACGCTCCCGTAGCTAGGATGGAAGCAATTAGAATGTTATTAGCATTTGCATGTTTTCATGAATTTAAATTATATCAAATGGATGTTAAAAGTGCATTTTTAAATGGTTTTATAAAAGAAGAAGTGTATGTGGAACAACCTCCAGGTTTTGAAGATTCAAAATTTCCAGATCATGTTCTTAAATTGACAAAAACTCTTTATGGTTTAAAACAAGCTCCTAGAGCTTGGTATGAAAGATTGTCAAATTTTTTAATTGAAAAAGGTTTTTCAAAAGGAAAGGTTGACACTACATTGTTTTTAAAGCATAAAGGTAAAGATTTATTAGTAGTTCAAATTTATGTTGATGATATAATATTTGGTTCTACTAATGATGTTCTTTGCTAAGAATTTTCTAAGCTAATGCAAAGTGAGTTTGAGATGAGCATGATGGGGGAGCTCTCATTTTTCTTGGGACTCCAAATCAAGCAAAGAAAAGATGGCATCTTCATTAATCAAGCTAAGTACGTCAAAGATATGCTCAAGAAGTTTGGATTAGAAAATGGGAAACCTCATGATACTCCAATGAGCTCTTCAACAAAGCTTGACTTAGATGAAGGAGGTAAATGTGTAGATGTTAAATTATATAGGTCAATGATTGGTTCTTTGCTTTATCTTACTGCAAGTAGATCGGACATTATGTTTAGTGTTTGCTTATGTGCTAGATTTCAATCATGTCCTAAGGAATCACATTTACTAGCTGTTAAGAGAATCTTTAGATACCTTAAGGACACTCCTAGTTTAGGACTTTGGTATCCTAGAGACTCTAGCTTTAGCTTGCATGCTTTTTCTGATGCGGATTATGGAGGATGTAAAATACATAGGAAAAGCACCTCCGGTACTTTCCAATTCCTTGGAAATATGCTGATTTCTTGGTTTTCAAAGAAACAAAATTGTGTTGCATTATCTACCACTGAAGCGAAATATATTTCAGCCGGTAGTTGTTGTGCACAAATTTTATGGATGAAACAACAACTTTTTGATTATGGAATTGAAGTAGGTACTATTCCTATCAAGTGTGACAATACTAGTGCTATTTGTCTCACTAAAAATCCCATCCAACACTCTAGAACTAAACATATTGAAATTAGACATCACTTCATTAGAGACCATGTCACTAAGGAAGATGTAGTTCTAGAATTTGTTGATACTTTGCACCAATTAGCGGATATCTTTACAAAACCCTTAGACAATGAAAGATTTTGGACACTTAGGAGAGAATTAGGTTTGACCAACCTATCTTCAGTTAGTGTTTAAAATAATTTTAGCACTTTTAATAATAAATGAAAAATGCTTATAATAGTAATTTTTGATTGCATTCATTGCTATTAGTTAGGGGGAGTTTATGATTCTTAATGAAAAATTAATTTTATGTTCAAATATCGTTTAAAGATTAGTTTAATTATTTGAACATGATTAATTTTCAATATATGAGTTGCCAATACCACTAGAGGAAATTAATTTAGCATTTTGAGTGTTTAAAATCGGATTTTAGCATTTTGGTGTAGAGGGAATCGATCCCCCCATGAGGGAACCGATTCCCCCTTTGAAGGGGAACCGATTCCCCCCACAGGGGAATCGATACCCCCCTGGGGTTCTGTTAAAATCGGGCAAGAACACCCAAAACCCCAAAACCTATTCCGCCGTTTCTCACCCTCAAACACTCAAATCTCCATTCTTGCCTCAAATCATTTATTTTAATCGGAAAACACTTCAAATATCATCTCCTAAACTTGCAATCATCTTTAAAATCGTGCAAACAACATCTAAATCCCCTCAATCTTCATCTTTCAAGGTAAATTTTTCTAAACTCTCTATTTCATTGATTTTGAACATAGGATTAGTTTTAATTAGTTCTACCTTGAAATATTGAGGACTCAATTGAGTTTTGGGATTAATTGAATTGCATACATTTGTTTTTAAAATTGCAGGTTATCCAATCTATTCCGATTTCCTTCACCATGTCTAATCCTAAACGTGCTAGGTCTTCATCTAGTCGTTCACACCGACAACCAAATCCACCTCCAAATCCTCCACCTATTCCAATTTCTAATCCTAATCCTATTGATCCTAATTTGACTATTCAAAATTCGTGTTTCAATCATCCTGGTCCTAGAAATCATCGTTTTTGGTATTATCAATATTTCGACTCTTACTAAATCCGGGAAGAACGTATTCCTTCTCGTCAAGCTATGTTAGCTATCAATTTTAAATATCTTCCTCTTTTACAAGAGTGGAAATTTGATAAACTCTTTGACCATGAACCCATCGTTTACCATCAACTTGTTCGTATTTTCTATTTTAATGCCGTTTGTGTTAAAGACCAAACTGAAACCGAAACCATAGGAATTCGTTCCTACCTTCTAGGAAAATTCTTATATATTGACTCGGCTTACATAGCCAATACATTCAGATTAGATAATGAAGGGATTTCAAATAAAAAACAGGTTTTAGGATCTCGTTATAAAAGAAGGGATAGTGCAAGTGTCCTAGACCTTCATGAACGTTTTCTTCATCTAATGATTTCTTGGTGGTTTCGACCATCTGGAGGTCGTTATTCTACTCTTAGAGCCTTAGATCTTTGGTGGTTACATTGTTTCGAAAAAAATATTAAAATCAACCTACCACAGATTATTTTTGCTGAAATTGTTGAAACCGTAAATCTTGTTCCTAATAAAAAACTTTGTTCATCTCTTGTTTACGGTTGTATTTTGAGTAATCTATTTTCCAAAGCTGGGCTTAGAGTCGGTCTAGATGCCGTATTTCCTCTTAAGAAACAAATTAACCTTCTTTCCTTAACGAGAGCGGGATGGATTAAGGATAAGGAAACCGGGGAATGGGTTCGATCTTCTGCAACTACTCCGGGAGCTAGTTCTTCACAAGCTCCACCCGAAGCTGACGAAGATCTCGAGCTTGAGTAATTAATGCGAGACATCGATGAAGCTGAAGATGAACCTGAGCAGCCCGAGGAGCAGCCCGAAGAGCCAGCACAACAATCGACTCAAATGCCTCCATATTTTCAATCTTTTATGCAGACATTTGATTACCGATATGCGACCATGGATTCGCGTTTTAATTCTATAGAGTCCCATTTATCCACAATGGGAGCTCAACAATTAGAAATTCTTCGGGAAATGCGTGCAAATAATGAAGCAACCAACACACGTATTAATGACCTCACTAACGAAATGGCTGCTATGCGAGCTCGTTTTCCTCCTCCTGATCTGGATATGTGATTAAATGTTTTACTTTGTTTTCCAAACTTATTGTTTTAACATTTTGAATATTTTGGAATGTCTGAATTTATGGATGGTGTGAACTTATATGTTTGGTGTGATTTATTCATTATTGCATAATTTACATCATTATTAGCAATATGACCAATTTTACCATATCACATTGTTTATGAATATTGATTATGGAACTAATGGCTAACGATTCTCTTGATTGTGATCTTAGCAGCTTATGCATACATATACCTAATAAATTGGCTACATATTTTTCACGTTTATTTGAATCTTTTTGATTTAACAAAAAGGGGGAGAAGTGTGTTTTAAGTGTGTTTTTAAAATGATAAATGGGAGAAGTGTTAAAGTAAGGGGGAGTAATTTCAAAACTTGATTTCAAAATCTTAAAATTACTAAAATGTTTTGTTATATCAAAAAGGGGGAGATTGTTGAAAACATTTTGATATTTCGATATAACAAATTAAGTTAAATGAATTTTAAGATTTTCCAAAATGATTTTCTAAGTATATTCGATATAATTATTCGAATATCAAAACATTACTCAAAAATATTTCAAAAATCATTTTTAATCCTTACTTAAGTGTAAAATTAAGTTTTAATCTTAAAACAATTTCAAAATAATCTTTCAAAGTATTTCGAACCATTTCAAAGCCAAAAATTCCAGATTGCTCAGAGGGAACCGATTCCCCCCCAAGGGGGTACCGATTCCCCCCTGAATGGTTTGGCTCCGAGATTTCCAGAATGCTCGGAGGGAACCGATTCCCCCATAGGGGGTACCGATTCCCCCTGAATGGTTTGGCTCTGAGATTTCCAGAATGCTCAGAGGGAACCGATTCCCCCATAGGGGGTACCGATTCCCCCCTGTTCAACGGTCGAAATATTTGAATTTTACACTTAGGGAACCGATTCCCTATGAGGAGGAACCGATTCCCCCACGCTCCAAGCTGTTTTATTAATTGTTTTCACACTAAAATGGCTATATTATTTTCATTAATTATCCCCAACGTTCAGAAGTGATTCAAGGTGTATTTAAACAAGTTCTAAAGCCCTTGATCAACAAGAAATCATAGAGAAACAAGAGAGAAAGCATCAAACACCAAGTTTATGCAAATCAAGCCAATTTTCCTTTCAATATTCATTTTGCTTTCAAGAACACCATTTGTGCTCATTTGTAATTATCTTTGAGTGTTCTTTTCTTGTTCTAGAATTGTGCAAACATCTTACCTTGTGAGGTTTTCCTTGTAAGTTTGCAAATTTGTAATCTTCTCTTTGGGAAAAAGAGTGTTCTCAAGAATTGGGGTATATTCTTGAGGGTATTGTAAGGTTATCTCTTTGGTCTCAAAAGAAAGAACAAATTAGTGAATTTGTTGGAAAATCCTTAGTGTGGATAGCTAAGGTAGTGGACGTAGACTTTGATTGAGAAAGTCGAACCACTCTAAATCGCTGTGCAAATCTTTTCAATTTTCTGCAAAAGCTTCCACCGAATTTTTAATTGCCAATTCACCCCCCTCTTGGCTAATTCCGTCGATCGATTAACTCAACAGTCAGGTTATAGTAATTATGGAATTGGTTGTTACTGATTATTAAACTTCTATTCCTTGAAATTCTTTATACTTTCAAATCTGTTTCAGGCATGCAAAAGCTTTCTATTTTGAACTTGGAGGGCTGCTCGGTTACTGCTTCATGCCTGGATTCTCTTTCTGGTATATATTCTTGGCATGCATATCGCAATCGTTTTCCTATTAAACTGATTGCATCAGGAGCTGCTGACTGCAATTTTGCTTTTGCATTAAAAGTTGATGTTTCATTTAAATCATCTTTGTGCTTTTCTTTTCCAATTTTAATATTTTCTTGCTGATGACAAAAACTTGTGCATTTTCATTTTAGAAACTAGTTTTTGTAATCTCCTGACGGTCTTCCTTCTTTCAACATACATCATGTCATTCTGAGGAAATATTCAAAATCATTGATTGACCATAGAAACTCTACTTGCGTCTTCTTTTGATTACTTTGTCTTCTACATTAAACATGATATTGACTTGGCCTTTTTACTTTGCACAGTTCTTGCATCTCTGTTATATTTGAATCTTAGCAGGTGCAATTTCTCTGATGATGGATGCGAGAGGTTTTCTAGTAAGTTGGCTTCATGCTTTCCCTATTACGCATATGTAAAAATTCTTAGATGGCGTTTGGCTTATTGCATTTTTTTGTTTTGACAGAGCTAGGTAATCTGAAGATATTAAACTTAGGTTTCAATGACATCAGTGATTCGAGTTTGATACATCTGAAAGGTGTTCTCCCTCTTCCCTTATGTTGTTTGGTAGAATATTGATCTATATAATGTCTTTGATTCATATATGCGTGTTCCTTATTTTGGAGGACTGATAATGAAGTGGATATAATGGAATAAAAATTATTTATCTAACTAATGAGTGGTTATTCTTTGCAAAACATATAATAGGATCTCGTGATATGTTTTCTTTGAGAAATTTATTCCATGTTTTTTAGTGGTGGTTGACATCCATAATTTGATTTTTTTTTGCTTGGATCAAGGTTTGACAAATTTAGAGAGCTTGAATTTGGATTCATGTAGAATTGGTGATGATGGGCTAGTTCATTTGTCAGGTTGTTGGTCTAACTGCTACCATCTTTCTTTGTTTATATATTTGTTCATTTTGAAATAGAAATAATTAATTTAATTTAAATGTTTCTACCTACGTTATTTTTCTTCTGCTGTGGGAGGATTGGCATCTTCATTAAACCATCCTATTACCTCAGCTCATAATAATTCTCCGCTATCTTATAAAAAAATAGACGATAGTGGCTGAAAACAACCGCTTTCATTTGTTTAGGTCTTCAACGATTGAAATGTTTGGAGTTGTCTGATACTGAAGTTGGAAGCAATGGCCTTCGCCATCTTTCAGGTTAGATATCCTCTTTTCTCATAGTATGACATTCTCTATATTTTGCAGTTGCTGTTACTTTTTGTTTCTAGTTTTGGTGGTAAAGTGCTTCTTTAACTCTTTTGTTGAATATAATTATTTTCTTGATTTGATTCTCTGTTATTGCTACCCTGATTTGCTATCCTTCTTTGGAAGCCTTCTCAAAATTCAGATGATTCTACATGGAAAATTTTTGAAAACAATTGAAGGCACCTATGTTAGACATATACCTGTATCTGGCATTCTTATATGAGTCTGCATAACAACATTGTTCATTTAGTAGTCCGAGGAGCTTTAATCATTGAATAAGCATATAAAACTGATATCTTCTCAAAACAATTGATTCTTATATATGACCATCCGATTTCTTTTGGTTTACTTGTAGGTTTGGTTAATATGGAGAGCATAAACCTGTCATTTACTGGAGTTACAGATGGTGGTTTAAGAAAATTGTCTGGACTCTCATCTCTGAAATCACTCAACCTGGATTCTCGTCAAATCACAGATGTCGGACTTACAGCTCTTACTAGTATGACTGTTCGGAGTGCCTATTTCAGTTCTTTGAATTTTCCTTTTAGTTCTTTAACATGATTCATTGTGAAACAATAAGTTTTGTCACTTATTATACTAGTGATTTAATTTTATTGTTGTCAAAGATAATAAATTAGTTCTGATTAGTCCTTAGTTTATTGTTGAGAAAGAGATTACTGGAACATTATTTTTAGTAATTATGCTTATAAATATATTTTTTATTATTATAATAGTGATCATACCAATCAAAGTAAATATTTTAGGTTATATAATAAGGATAATTCACAGATTGAGAAAGAAAAAGTAAATTATTAGCTTTAAATAATTTTTAAGTAAAATAATATTTTTAACCAATCAAACAGGGCCTTTAGGTTATATAATAACAATTAAAATGATTAATTAATTGTATTTTTTCAAATAAAAATTTAATTGATCCATAAATTTTCAAATATGAAATATTTTTGTTTAATACTGACTTATAATTAGATGTAACGTGAAACAATAAATTTAAAAAACTGTACTCAGTAATAATGTGCCAGAACTTGGAAGTACTTCATTTGAAAGACAATTTCTTCAACAGTAGTAATATATCATCTTTTGGGAGACTTCCAAAAATAAAGCCTTTGTCTTTTGAATACTACGAATTGAACAGACCGACACAGTTAAATGTTGATGTAAAATTTTAATATATTTTAATATAAATTATATAAAATTTAATATTAATTAAAATTAAAATAATACATGATATATTTAAATACTAAAGTAATATATTATCAACAGATAAAATTTTTATATAAATAATTTTTATTTAAATTTTTAGAATTTCACTTGTTAAAAAATATAGAACAAGGACAATTTGGTAAAATATACATTCCAGTAATATTTTATTCCTTCAACCAAACACTGTAATCTTACATTCTTGCCAAACCAACCAAACACAGTAATGTAACATTTCCAGTAATCCTATTCCCTGGTAATCTTTTATTCCCACTGGTAATCTTACATTCCGCGAACCAAAAACACCCTAAGGAGTGCAAGATCAAGTCCACGAGGACTTATCATTGGCCTGAGCTGTTTGAACATCTTTAGAAGTTTTATCTCTCTTTACAAAAAAAAAACTATACCAGGAATTAACTATAGTATTAATTATTTTCCTTTTAGTACACTTTTATTTAATAGATTTCAAAGAATTATATTTTGGCCACTTACATTATTAATTTATTAAATTTTAGTTATTTTATGTTATCAATTTTCGCATTTTGATCATTAAATTGTTTATTCCAAACTTTAGATAGAATATTTGTAACACCTTATTCTCATATATGTTTTCGCATACGAGTCCAGGATGTCACATAAAATTTACAAAATAGTCCTTTTTTGAAAACCGGAAAAATTTTGTTTCTTTCAAAAATAATTCAATTATTATCTAAGGTCTTAAAATATTTCATTTCGATAACACTAAGAATCATTTTAACGAAAATATTAATCAGCTCATCTTAATTTTTAAACAGTAATAATAAACACTACCTATCGAAACCAAATTCCAACATAACTATTTTTAAGTATTATAACCATCTAGTATACATGTCAAAGCTCTTTACCATAATCAATAAAAACAAATATCATTTAATAATATGAAATACAATGGGTAGTTCATACCCAGAATCATTCAAAGAAATCATTTAACAAAACAATGTAAAATATATATAATAAAACGAGTTGAAAAAAACTCTTTCCAAATCTTCTGAGGTTGACTAATCACAAGTCTTCTTCATTCCATACTTTGAGCATAAGTAAAATGCACTCACCTGGTAATGCCTTACTAGTAATCTTACTTAGCGTTTCTATCTTTACTCTTGAACTTTTCCTTTACCTTTAAGCTTTCTTGGATCTTGATCCTTTGGCTATGGAGGTTTGGTAGCTTGCTGGAGGAGAAAGAAGATTTCTACACATTTCTAACCAAATATATCCTAATTAGCCTTTAAAAATCAATTAAAAAATAATTTTTATTCATTTTGGGACTAAATTGTCATTAATGAATTCCAAAAATTACACACATGTCACTCCATTATCACTATTTTAATATTATTAAATAACCATAAAAATATAATCTCTAAATTTTTATTTTTGAAACTCCAATTTTCCAAAATTTCATTTTAGTCAGTAAATTGCACTATCCCACTTTATAGTGCAATTCTCACCAACTTCCATCAAACCAACTTAAATTACACTAATTAAAAATATCCATATAATTTTTCCAACCCAAACATACATTCCTTAAAATTTTTGCAATCTTCCGATTCGATCCAGTTATTTGAATAATATACCGATTTTTGTCCTATAATAAATTTTTATGCAAACTCCAGATCAAAATTCTGAAACCCACTAAACTAATTGTCTTGATTTGGGATACTAATTGAAAAATCTAAAATTTAACTTTTAAAAATTTATATTTTTAGTCCTTAAACTTTTACAACTTTACACTTTAGTCTTCAAACTTTTAAATTTTACATTCCAACCACCAATCCAAATTTTGGGATATTACAATTCTCCCTTTTTTTTTTTGAAAATTCATCCTCGAATTTTCAACACGTACCCGATGCAAAAAGATGAGAATACTACTTTTTCATACCTCATTTACTTATCCACATAATTTCCTTGACTTCAAAATTTCTCCAAAAAACCTTAAGATAACAGATGGAATGGTTTAATTCCTTAGTCCTTTAGTTCCGTGCTCTAGTATCTTAATCGGTTCTTTCATAATCAAATCCAGTTGAATCTTAAATTCTTCTGGAAAACAACATGTGAAGAATTTCGAACAATACCTTCAATGTATCGATACATAAAACACACTATGATCTTATCCATTTCTAGAAGTTACCAAAACTGATAATTCACCGGATCATCTTTTTCTGTTATTTCATATAAACCAACGAATCTCAGACTTAGCTTTCCTTTTTTTCCAAATCGTAGAATCCTTTTCTAATGTGACACCTTGAGTAACACCATATCACCGACCTGATTTTTAATTCCTTTCTTTTTGAATCCAAATAAGACTTCTGTAATTTAGCTGAAATCTTAAGATTGCCTTGTATAATCTTAACTTCGCCTTCTACTTTCCTAATTAGATCAAAGCCAATTATTTTTCAATCCTTGAGTTTATTTCATTTAAAAAAAGTATCCGACACTTTCTTCCATATAAAGCTTCATAAGGATCATTTGATACTTGACTGATAAATATTATTACAAACAACTTCGGTAAAACATAAGTACTCTTTTCATGATCCTTTAATTCCAATTATTCCCATCCTTAACATATCTTTCAACATACTTATCTATTAAATAATTAACTCGAATTGGAATAAAGTGTGTTGACTAAATCAATCTCCGTACAATCACCCAGATTGAATTCTTTTTATTAGGTGTCAAATGTAAACATGTTACAAAATCCATAGTAACTCTTCTCATTTCCATTAAGGAATATAAATAGGTTAAAACAATCCAAGTAACACTTGAAATTCTAGTTTTAGTTGTTTTAGCATATCAAGTATTTAAAAATAAATATCGGCTATAGCTCTTTTCATGTATGGCCATTATTATCGACTCTTCAAGTCATGATACATCTTGTTTCCTCTAACATACCTCATTAAAGTACTATAACACGCCTAAAAAAGAAGTTATTTCTTCAATTCCTCATTGATTGAAATACAAACATTTCGTTGACAGTACAAGCATCCATTGGACTTAACTTCAAAGTCTTTGATTTCACCCTTTTTTTACTTATTCAATACTTGATCTATACATTTTATTCAATCTTTGAAGATCCTTCATTTGCTCCAAGTTCAAATCCTTTTGAGTTAACAAATACTTCAAACTTTTATGAACGATATGCATATAACACCATTCACCATATAGATAATGATGGCATATCTTCAAGGCAAATACCATTACCGCCAATTCGAAGTCATGCGTAGGAAAATTCCTTTTGTGTGTCTTAAATTACCTCAAAGCATAAGTCGTGATTTGTCCTTCTTGTATTTATACACATCCCAAACCATTATAAGATACACCTCTATAGACTACATAGTTCCTTCCTAGTTCTGATTGTACTAGCACAAGAAATTTTTATTAATATCTTTTGAACGTTTTAAAGTATTTATTGACACTAATCAATCCAATATATGATATAATCCACACTTCAAAAATATTCTTCGGAGTTTTTCATTCTTAAATAACTTATACTCATCTGGAATCCATTTTAATTCTCTTCTATTGATACTACATAGTCAAAGAAAGCAACTTTGGACAACCAAAAATTCACACTACAATAGCTTAGCATATAGCTTTTTCTATCAAAAAGTCCGAGGAACAATGTGAATATATTCATCATATTCATATTCTTCTTTTATCTTAAAATGGAGCAAATATCAATGATCCTTGGGGGAGGATACTTATTCTTCACTGTCACCTTATTCAATTAACGACAACCTATACATAATCATATAGATCTATACTTCAGTTTCACAAACCAAAAAGCATTGGTGCACTTCAAAGTGACACACTCGGTCTTATAAAACTTCGATCTAGCAATTTTCTGAATTTTTTCCTTTAACTCCCTATGTTCAATAGAAGCCATTCTTTTAAAGATTTGAGAATCTACTACCTTAACTAGGAAGGCTTGACAACCTTGTTGTAATAACTTCTTAACAGTTATGTAACACTCTTAACCCATATATGACCCGAATACGAATATGAGGCGTCACATTGACTTTTAAAAGACTTTGACTCTTTAAAAATTTCAATTTAAAATTTGATAATGAAAACAAAACTTAATAAAACATAATTAAAATACATATCATAGTATCTAAACTTGACATTTATAGTACATGCCAACAACATTTCCATACACCATCACAAACAATTTAAATATCTCTCTATCTAATCTGATAATCTTCAAAGGTATGTTCTCCTGTCTCTGGCTTACTTGTATTACTCCTTGTATATCTTTGAACCTATGTGTGAAAACACTCACACGCTAAGTCGATGACTTAGTGAGGCAT